AGCTACATATGAGTAAAGTAGTAGATACAATCTAATAATATATTAATTCTGTGTGGGGTTCAGGGTACTGCCCTGGGGGACATGTATGGGGGATCCGGGTACTGCCCTGGTGGACATGTATGAGGGTCCGGGTGCTGCCCTGGGCGAAAGGAATTAATGAAAAAAAAAAACGTTTTTAAAGGAGCAGTGATTTTAACATCACTTAAAGGGTAACAATAAAAATGAAAAATTTATTTAAATATCGTCCCTGGGGGGTCCCCTTAACCTGCCTATGAAGTGGTGGATATATACGATGTATAGAACCTGCTGCAGCAAAAATGAAATTTCTAAAGAAAAAATAATTTATTTATTTTTTTATTCTTAAAGCGTGCCGGTCCCCCTGTTCCAAACAATACCAGACCCTTTAGGTCTGGTAGGAATGTTAGGAGGGACCAATTTGTTTTTTAAAAACAAATTTTATCTCACTTCCTGTCTGTTAAAACGTTTGTGCCCAGAAAAGGAAGTGAGGGGAAGTCTCTCTAAGGGAGCCCCGGATAACAGTAAAACCTATAAAAAGAGTTTTAGTATTAGTTATTATATAACGACATCACAGAATGACATCAGCAATTCATTACATTACAGAATGTTCCAGCAAATTACTGACAACGTTGCAGCTTACAGTCTATTTCCTGATGAAGACGTCTTTAGAACAATGGAAGAACATTATATGTATAATCATGGAGTGTGTTTTGTGTTTCTTTCTTCAGCCGCCAATATCGCCAGAAGCGGGGAAGCCACGCAGAGTTCTACTCTCATTTATTATGATATAAGTACTGTTGCTAGCAATGCCATTGATGGCGGGAAAGATCAGAACTGGTGGCATGGTTCCTGTACCGCCACAGATAATGAATGGGAATCCTGGTGGAGACTGGACCTGAAGCAGAAACACAAAGTGAACATGGTTGTGGTCTATGGAAGGTCGGACGGCTATTTGGAACGGATGAAGGGTCTCGAGCTCCGAGTTGGAGATTCTCCGAACAATCACAACCCAGTGTGAGTACATCAGGGCCAGGACACTGTAAGGTCTGACGTCAATAGACTTTGTGCGTGTGTTGATGGCATCAGATGGAGATGCTTCTGAGATTATTTCGAATTCATTAATAGGTGCATGTGACCTGCCGTTGACTTCCCTCTGACCTGTAATTGACCTCATTTGAACTTGCAGTTGACCTCCTTCTGATCACCATTTGACCTGTATTCTCATAGACCTGTTTCAGAGTTAAAAAAAACTAATCTGAACAAAAACCCATCAATATAGGCCCTAAATGTGATAGGCGCTCAGCGCCACCTTGAACCCAAAATAAGAGGCAGCACTGTGTGACTGGATTTTACCCACAGGGCAAGCTTCTGATAACAATGACATCATTAAATATAAAATTAGCTATAAGGTAATAGGGTTTCCGGAGGGGTGTAATTGACCACCCAAGAGAGATATATTAAAAATATATATCAAATTTATTTGTATAAAGTTAAAAGCGATGCATTTCATATATTTGACAAAAACCCTGCATAGGATTTGCTTGAGTAAACACAATTGTATTACATACATATTCAAATAATCCAAGTGTTGCAAAATCAAAAACATGATAATAATCACAGGATTTAACAGAAATATAGTTGCCCCTATAGTGGCTTAGCTTAATAGGTCCCGACGCGTTTCGCCAGTGGCTTCATCAGGGGACCCATAACAGACGGATCATGCAGGGTTAACTTGCAAGGTAAGGGAGGCACCTGGAGAATCGAGAAAGTGGAAGCCGGATAACCCCACCACCACCCTCACGATCTCCTTCTTGTCACACTCGGGACCTCAGAGTCAAAGAGGGAGAGATGACATCCAGTCATCCAGCAAGCTTCATTAGGAGGCGTGTGTCCAAAATTGATATATGTTGGAGGAGGGTCCGGCTGGATGTTCATGTAATCCTATTGAATTTCACTGGTGGTGTGAGGCTCCCTGCATGCCTCCATGGTGATCCCCGCTGGATGTCATCTCTCCCTCTTTGACTCTGAGGTCCCGAGTGTGACAAGAAGGAGATCGTGAGGGTGGTGGTGGGGTTATCCGGCTTCCACTTTCTCGATTCTCCAGGTGCCTCCCTTACCTTGCAAGTTAACCATGCATGATCCATCTGTTATGGGTCCCCTGATGAAGCCACTGGCGAAACGCGTCGGGACCTATTAAGCTAAGCCACTATAGGGGCAACTATATTTTTGTTAAATCCTGTGATTATTATCATGTTTTTGATTGTGCAACACTTGGATTATTTGAATATGTATGTAATACAATTGTGTTTACTCAAGCAAATCCTATGCAGGGTTTTTGTCAAATATATGAAATGCATCGCTTTTAACTTTATACAAATAAATTTGATATATATTTTTAATATATCTCTCTTGGGTGGTCAATTACACCCCTCCGGAAACCCTATTACCTTATAGCTTTTTCAACAATGTATTTAACTTAGGGGGAGAGGTGCTAATTAGGTGCCCACGGGGAGGCAACCCAGAATTTATCCATGAAATATAAATTTAGACTGGGGTACCTGGGGCCCACCAGACAAAGTGAGAGTGAGGGCCCACCTTCAAGCGCTATGCACTATAATGAACAGTGATAAGCTTCTGGTTGACTACAAGCTCAACCCTGAACTCAAGCTGTTGGCAGTGTGACAAATGGGTGAATGGTTTGCCCAGCTCCCCCGCCCACCAAACCTCTGTGTCCTAGCAACCAATTACACTGTGAGACCTGCCCAGTGTTATTGGTTGACTGGTGGATGAGCCACAGGGCATCAGTGGTTGGTACGAAGCAGGCAGGTAAACCAGAACAACCTAGGATGCTCTGGAGCCGCCAACATCTAAGCAACCAATGATGCCGGTTGCTAGGACACCGGCAGCCCCATCATTGATTGTTAGGGTCCAGTGCGGACCAGTTGCTAGCAACTAATTATGATAGTACACAGCCTGCTCTGGCTTTGGTTTGCTTGAACATTTGCCAAACCCAGATTTCTAGCTCTGTTCAGAGAACATCTAACTCACTGAACCCAGGCCAGTTTTCTTATCACTAGTGGTGAACAGGGGGTTTGGCTTACTCTGAGGGGGCGTGGTTAAATGGGTAAGGTTTAACAGCGATATTAGTAAGTCACTCCGCTCATCTCTGTTGCCTAGTTATTATACATTTTTGTGTTTTATTAAGCCGCAGAGCAGTGTATGTTTTCTATGGGCACATTTTGTGAATCTTCCCCAAGTGAACGGGTTCCATTTTCTGTATCATTGTGTTGGTCTTTGCTTGCCCTTGGCAGGTGCGGTACGATCACCAACTATAAAAATGCCACCACAACTTTCTGCTGTAATGGGATGGACGGTCGCTACATCAGCGCGGTGATCCCGGGGCGCAGTGAATACTTGACCCTGTGTGATGTGGAGGTCTACGGTGAGCCTGCGCCTGAGGAGTATGACGTCTGCTAGTAAACCTCAGAAGTACAGTGGAGAAGGAATACTTCAAGTTCATCATTAAATGTCACGTCTATAGGGAACATATCTTCAGGGATAAGTACCGCGGCACACCTTGTAGTTGTGAAATAATAGATCTAAAAATAATAAAACTATGTTACTCAGAAAAAAAAACTGCTGTGTTCATGTCTAAGGGGTCTATTTATAAACAATTCACAGAGCTATTCACCCTGCGAATCTCTGTGAACGTTCATTCTGTGAGATAAAAACAAGCTTTTTTAAGTATACAGTATATTCTTCTCAGGTTGAACATAATGTAATACAATACCACATGATGATCTCTAGGGGGAGATGAGGAGCACAAAAAATAAGTATCATTCATATTCCATAACTCCTACTGTAACGTAGTTACCTTCCTAAAAGGTGGTTACATTAATGCATATGAAGATACAACTCAGTTAGGGACACAATAGAGCTATATTTCAAGGTCCAGAAGGCTAGTAAGACATAACAAACTTCATAAAAGATATATACATCAGATATATATAAAGTTTGGTCTCTCAGATTGTGGATCACGGACGGGTGTACCATCGGTGCCGGGAAGAAAGGGGCTGGAAGATACATGAGGTATCACTGTCCACAGAGCATTGTTGGACATCAACAAACATGCTGGAAAATTATCACAAGAACTCCATATTCCCCAAAACATGACCAGCAAGCTTGCCAAGAAGCCCAAAGAACCCCAATCCAGACACAAGTAGCGGCCAATATACAACAACACGCATACACTAATATCTATGTTGCTACCATTCACAATTTACAGGCTTGTAAGGAACTTTGCTCCAGACACCTCCAGTCAGTAGACTCTGCGTTCATGTAGACGGGCACACAGGATTTTGACAAACACGCACGCTGCTCTCACTAACAGGTACAGATTAAGTAAACCAGGCAATGTCATGTATAGAGTTACTCAAGGAAACGCAAGATCCCTCTGTTTCATATGTGATTCAACAATGACAGTTACTGGCGAAACTACCAGGGTCGCAGTGGTCGCAACTGCGACCGGGACCTGGCATTCCTACACTTGGCGAGAGCCCAGCGAGGAAGAGAATGCACCCCCCCCCCCTGAGATCGTGCCGCTCCATCCCTGCCACACTGCCACCCGCAGCATGTACAGTGGATGGAGAGGCAGTCAGCAGTCCCGCAGAATGTGCTCCAGGCACCGACGGGCAGCACATTCTGCTGTGTGAGGACCCTCTCCTATTAGCTCCCCCCCATGGCCGCAGAGACGAGGAAGAGGACCCTGAGGAGAGGAAAGGTAAGTCTGGAGTGGGAAGGGGGGGCGCGGGGAAGTGTGTGGGGCAATGCTGGTGATATTCTGTAGTGCTGACTTTTATTATAATTAATTGCTGGGACTTGTAGTCCTGCATAGCTGGTGATATTCTGCATTGCTGTATGATGATTATACAGCAATGCAGAATAGCTCCAACTATGTAGGACTACAAGTCCCAGCAATGCATTATAGTGTTGGTGGGGCGGGGGGATGCTGGTGGTATTCTGCATAGCTGACTTTTATTATAATGTATTGCTGGGACTTGTAGTCCCGCATAGCTGCTGGTATTCTGCATTGGTGTATGATGATTATACAGCAATGCAGAATAGCTCCACAACTATGTGGGACTGCAAGTCCCAGCAATGCATTATATTTTTAAGTAGGGATACACCAGTGCCAATACTGGGAATTTTCACGAGTACTCATACTCGTGAAAATGCCCCGATACTAAACGCAGATACCGGTGTTCTGTCAAGAACGCCGACGTAGTCGAACTTCCCGACCTCAGCATCTGCGCTTGCACACAGACCAATATTATCGAGGAAACAGGAATTTCTTGCACCGGGGCCCTGAAGGTTCTAGTTACGCCTCTGATGACAGTGTAACATGGGGGAGTATTTGGTATACTTCTTGGTTTGCAAGCAGTTTATAAAATGTCCATCCTCCAGATATACTTGCTGTTATTGTAGTGGTGTATCCTCCTGTACATCCTCCATGGATATATTCAAAGAGTCTACTTACAATTTGCAGCTCAACAGAAAAGGAAAGCATGATGTTGTTCACCAATCCACAGGCAGTGAATGAAAGAGTGACTGACATTGCGTGGTTCCTAATGGGGTCCCAATGGTGGGTAGCAAGATCTGACTGGTTTCTGCAGTCTCTCATTCCTCAGAGATCCATCCTTGCCAAGGTATTGCTCATTAATATACATAATTGAAATGTGAAATGGCCTCTCCACAATCATCACCAGCATGCTGTATACCACCAAGGCCTGGTCGATCATGGCACACATTCAACATCACAGCGTCATGATATATACCCAGAAGAAATGTATGTGGAAGAAACAAATGTGCATGTGCAGTCACCACCCTTACTAACGGCGGGGCACATGCAGCATCTCTGCCATCAGCCACCATATTGGAGACCAAATGGGGAAGGAGGGACCACCGGGACATAAGAACAAAGAACTATCCTGTAAACAATGTAATGTCACCTGACAAATAGTGACCCAGCACATCAGGTAAATAGATTATATGGGGACCACACATGGTGTTATTTAACTGTTGTACTTCATTCATCACCTTATAGTGGTCACACACCTATGATGCAACCAATATATCCAGAAATATAACATCCTATTATTCACAATCTCATGAGTCTTCTTGTCCATTTCCCCATGAGATATTGAGAAAAAATAATCAAATATCTCTGACAATAAAGATATATATTTTAAGGGGATGCATTCCAAAATTAGTATCAAAGGTTAAGCATAAAGTGGAAATCAATATATCTAAAGTTAAATCAATATATCTGAACATGTAAAATAATAAAACATTTCCTCCGTATACCCGTTCATTTTCGTAAGAAAATGAAGAAAAGAAGAGAAATTAGAAAAAGCCCAAATTATCAATCAAACCCGGGGGATGGGCGGCTTGTAACGTCAAATCCATCTACTTTTCTTGTTGCGATGATGTTTCCTGAAGTCCCCAAAAGACCTTTTTAATCTCCCAACTTCTCAGACCTTCATTCTTCTGTTATGATTGAAGGCAAAGTGTCGTGTAACAGGGAACCTCTAATGAAAGGTTTGGATGTCATGCAGATTGTCATATAAATGTTTTTTTGACCATCCTAATGGGTTTCTCTATATAGAAAGCACCACGAGCGCAAATCAGTATATAGACAACCCCTCGAGTGTCACAACTGATATTCCCAAAACATCTAACCAAAAGCTGACATTTTAATCTTTTTTCTCTAACATCTAAAGCTAAAATTTGTCACCTGGCATACAATGTCACTGTCACTAAGTGTCACACTCAGTGACAGCGACATACTTTGAACATCACCATCATCAGGGGGGTTAAATCAAAAAAATTAACCCCTTAGGGTGAAAAACAAATCTGCAGCTCAGCTGCAGATTCTGATTGTAATGGGTTAATTTTGATATTAATGATAGTATAAACATATATTTAAATATATCATTTTTATTTGTTACATTTATTTTTTTAAACTTTTTTAAACTACATTTATTTTTTTAAACATTTTTACATTTGTATTTTATTTAATTTAATTATATCAAGCAGTCATTGTGAATGAATCTCACTATTACTGCTTGATAATTAAATTAATTAATTTTGCGTTATTATTAGGCTGATTCAAACTTAAGAACAGGCAATAAAAACCTTAGTGACACGGACCTGCAGCATTTCAGGAGCAGGTGTCACTAAAGGCTTCTTTTCGTTCCCACAATGATCAGAAGCCTGCAACATTGTTTCTGCAAAAGGAACATGTACTTAAATGTTTCTTTTGCTGAAGCTTTAGGGAAAAAAAAGCCGGTACACATCAGGATTTCTGATACCAGCTGTCATTGACCATCTATACCATCTATAGCAGCTGTCAGTGACGGCTAGAGCTGTAAATGCCGCTCTGCTCTCACTGTCAGACACTCGATTCCTGAAAGTGATCAGGTGTCTGAAAAAGGCTAACTCTTTCATTCATGGATGCCTCTATACTGACCCATCCATTAATGGGTGGTTACCAGCATTACAGAGCCCCAAATAGCTGATCACATACAGTGTACAGGATCAGTCATTTGGGCACTTTGTGGCGGGACCTATAGTGTACAGGATCAGTCATTTGGGGACTTCGTGGCGGAATGTACAGTGTACGTCCCCCGTCACGAAGGGGTTAATACTATAAGATACAATTACACTATAAAAATAGAAATACATGTTTAAAAAAAACTATTTAAAAATTAAGCAAGTAAAAATATTCTTTAAGTTGGGTCCATTCGTCAGCATATAATAAAACGACTTGAGCATGGTGTCTTGGAGCAGAGTTGTTGTTATGACACTTCTGCTCCCGAATGCCAACAAAGGGGAAGAACAAGTCCCATGACGTCATGACTCCTTTATTGACATTCAGGCCAGAGCTGCCATTTTGAGGGGAGAGTTTGTAGGGATTGGTCGCGTTGGCTGGTGTCGGGTATTTTTTCTTTCGTCGAGTTGGCAGCCATCATCCATTGTGATTGACGTGGCTCTACTTTGCTGGATAACGTGATTGACGCTTGGATTACATCAATGGACTTTTTTTTATTAACCCCTTCGTGGCGGGAGACGTACACTGCACGTCCCGCCACGAAGTGCCTATATGACTGGCCTTGTACACTGTACGTGACCAGTTATTTGAGGTTCTGTAATGCTGGTAACGGCTGATTCTCAGCGGTTACCAGTCATTAATGGATGGGTCAGTATTGAGGCATTCATTAATGAAAGAATGAAGCCGTTACATACAAATACGGGATCGCTAAATAGTGGTTTGGTATTTGACAGCTGCAGAGAGGTAACAGAGTGAGTCACCTCTCTGCTATTTGTTTTGACAGCTCGATAGACTGGCCCAATGTTTATGAAGCTGTGTGATACATTTCAGGCACAGGAATGTTACAATGTATCTCTCTGCCTGAAATGTATCATTTCTGATCGTCTGGGCAGGATCAGAAACCTTTAGTGAGATCTGATTCTGGCATGCTGTCAGGATCAGTCTCTAAGGTTATTATTAGCTGTTCCTAAATTTGGAGAAGACTAATAATAACCAAAAATAAAAAAAAATAGGAAAATTGTATTCCATACTTACCGCAATTTTCCTTGCCTGTCTAGCTCCATGGCAGCACACAAATGGGGGAGGAGGGAGGGATTAACCCATTCCCTATGCTGACATGGAGCTGACAGGAAAGTTAATTTATCAAGCAGTCATAGTGACTGCTTCATATAAACCAACAAAAAAAAGTGTAAAAAAAAAATTAAGAAAATAATAATTATATATAACTATATTTTTTATACTATAATTAATATTAAAAAATTCTACAAAATAATAATAATCAAAACTTGTGAGAAAAAGTATTTTCTTTACACTTTTTTCTCATTTTTTTAATATTGTATTCGAACTAAGTGAGGCGTTAGGTACACATGTTTAATGTAATTATATAAACCGTTATGTAAAAAGTGTGTCAGTCATTTATGAACAGAAACTGAAAACTAGCTCAGTCATGAAGGGGTTAAATTACTTGTCAATAACCTTTGTTGGGTTTTTATTTACAATTTTATTGTTTATTTGGTGAATGAGTAGTGATAACAACTACCCCTTACTCATTCACTAAGGGGGGTGGGGGGTGGCATCTGGGTGTCAGGGTTGTGGCAAAGAGGCCCTTGTGCTCATCAATATAGGGACAAAGTGCTTTGGCAGGGGGTCCACCTGTCAAAGCACCTTCCCCATGTTGGGGGCATGTGACCTGGTCTGGTGCATGAGCTAACCAGCATGCACCAGCAGAGCTAGGCGATGTATGAGAACCTCTGTGGCCAATTGTGTTTGTAATTATCTAACGCTTTCGGTATTAATAGGGATGCACCAATACCAGGTACCGTACTCGGTACAAGTACAAGTGTAAGTACCGATACTTTTCCAGCTCTAGGACTAGACTAGAGAACAATTCAAAATGCAGCTGTCATTTGTAAGGAGCACACGGAGCTCCCGGGATTTGTACATCTCTGTTTTATTGTATGATTTTGTTTTTATAAATATATATAAGGGGATGCACCAATACCAGTTTTGCGAGTACGAGTACTGATTTGTTTATTGTCATGTGAGTTTTTGTAAAACAATACAGACTAATGATTTCAGGACAGTGATGGAGCGCCAGAGCCCAGTCCCAGGTGCAACCGCTGCAACACTGGTAGTTCTCATGAAAATGCCAAGTATCGGCACTGGTATCTAAAAAGTATCGGTGCATCCCTAGAAAAAAACAAAAATGTCAGATTCTGACAAATCCGAGTAATGAAACAAATTGACTTTCGGAGCTGCATCCCAAAAAACAAATTTACCGGCGCACATGTCTATAATCTACGGGGGGGTGTTGGACTGGTTACTTTTTAACATTCTTGGATTTTATTTATTTAATAAAAAGTTAGAAAAGGCCGAGTGAAGGCAGACGATTGGTCAGTATTCTTCTATCTGTGAATAAGAAAGATTAGAGTGATATTAAAGTCCAAGGTTTCTAAGATACTTCAAATGTTGATGAAATCACTTACAATGGTTGCTGCTCCTTGATGCTAAAAAGTTTCAGCATCTTGCAAAATCAGCTGATCCCCTGAGCACCGACCCTGATATCCTGTTGTAGGGTGGCTCCTTTCCATTACAGGGTTCGATAGAGCCGCCCTTCTGTGTGCGAGTAAGTTGTGTGTGTCTCCATGGGTGTCCCTTGCTACGTGATGCCCGCTTTTTCTTCCTCCCTTCTCCACGCCAGAAGATGGACAGTTGCTGGAGACTGTGCTCTGTCCCTTGTGGTCTTGTACTGGAAAGGAACTTCAGGGGAGCCAAGCTGAGAGAGTTGGATCTGTTTGGAAACATGATGACTGTATGTATTTGGGAAACAATGTAAAGAAATACTTTCTGGGTGATGTAGAATTGTTTGATTTGGATTCATTATTGAAACAAACATTGTCTAATACTACATATGGAGCTTATAGAGTTCTATATCGAGTATAATTCTACTTTCAGCTTGGATCTTGGCTCGCTCATCTATAGGTAGGATTAGGGTTACACACTGTAGCTGCTTACATAGATACATTATTTGTGTTTTACAACCCTCAGCCTGAGAACCCGATCCTTGCTCAGAGCATACAAATATCTATAACTATCTCCCCCTAGTAATAAATCATGCAAAAACACAATTCTCATGAAGACAATAGTCGGTGCAGCAAAACGTATCCTATGCAATGCTAAAGAAAAGCAATCTCATGTAACATTGTGTGTATGTACCCGGCCCGTGCTCAGCCATTAAACATGGCCTGTGACAGTGACCTCTGGGGGTTCTATATTACCAAACTGGGAATTAGGATGTTGAGTGAACAGCGCTGACTGCTCTTACACATACTGTAGGTGAATGTGAACAGTGAATGTGTTTTATAAATGCAGCAAATCTTTTGGCGTATTAGCAGTGAAAATGCAACAAATGATCAGTGACACTTACAGACATACAGGTAAAACTCGAATAATTAGAATATCGTGCAAAGTTCATTTATTTCACTAATGCAACTTAAAAGGTGAAACTAATATATGAGAGAGGCTCATTACATGCAAAGCAAGATAGTCCAAGCCGTGATTTGTCATAATTGTGATGATTATGGCTTACAGCTCATGAAAACCCCAAGAACCCCAAATCCACAACCTCAGAAAAGTAGATTATTACATGCAATCAATAAAACAAGGATTGTACATAGAACAATATCGGACCTCTGAAAAGTACCAGCATGCATATGTACTCAGTACTTGGTTTGGGCCCCTTTTGCAGCAATTACTGCCATTACTTTTGCACGATATTCTAATTATTCGAGTTTCACCTGTATTGTTGTGGAAATTTTATTAGGATGCGTTTTTAGTATATTGTAATATTGTCATCATGTCTCTCAGTGTCAGGTTTACAGCGTCATGCTCGATTGGAACATGACCCGGATTAAATCAGCACTGAGGGTAAACCATTGGAGTAGATATCTTCCTGTGGATGTGCGAATAATTGCAGAGCAGTGTTTACTTAGCGAATATATGGACGCCGGCTAGGGCCCCTGCGCGATGCGCGGATTTATTGGCTTGGCGTGGATGCATTTGTTTTGAGGACATAGTATTATTAATTAAGATACATATCCGCCTTTATGAAAGGAACGTGCGTTCGTATTTCTGATGCGTCTGATCAGCACGCTGGAAATAGTATGTCATTGTCCCTGCAGATAAACTCGCATTCATGAGAATCATAATAACTTTATTGGGCATTGCTCATTGAGCAATGCTGGATAAGGTTCGCTCCAGTGGTAACTTTAGATTAACAGACATACACTCCCTTCTCTATTGTATACATGTGTTTTGTTGGCTGGCTATGATATGTTGATGTATTGAGGAAGTGATGTTGGTTGTTGACATCACTTCCTGTTTGACATCACTTCCTGTTTGACATCACTTCCTGTTTGACATCTATATAATAAATGGAGCTTCAGTGGAGGGGGCTCGTGGAACACAGAATCTCCATCATGAAGCATCTCGTCTGACCCTGCATGAGTGTTGCCTTTCCTTGCACAAAAGAGCTTAATACAACTACGTGCTTTTAAGGAAATTGTTTGTGTTTGGCGCACTTTGGTGTGCTATGGCACACTTTGGCGCACTTTTAGCGCGGCATTGATTTGTGCGTTTAGCCCAAGCGAATTTCCATAACAATATACACCCCTATACCGAATGTGTGTTAGCAATTCTAAAGTTTATTTGAAAAGTAACCACAGCCTGAGTAGAAAAGCTTGTCCCCTGCCAGAATGCGGCAGAGAGGGACCTTTTCTCTCTGTGGGTAAGCAATGGTCAATGACAGTTGACCTCTACGCTGAACTCTGGGCTTTTTTTGTAAAAAAAATACCCTTGCAGTACCCCTTCCTCCGACCTGCATTGTAAGGGTTAATGTCTCATTAAGTCTCGGGGGAGGAGGACAAGCTGTAATAGTTACATTATTCCTCGCTCCGTCAGGCTTTTGGCGCTCTTCTCTCCAATGCTCCGAGCAGTGGCAGAACTAGGGAACAAAGGGCCCTGGTGCAAGATTTTTTTTCGGTCCCCCCTGCACCCTACCCATGGGACCTGCTATATAGCCCTACAAATACCAGCAGTACTTTATACAGCATTGCCATCATTTGGGCTACAAAAAAATAAGGATTTTATTTAATAACTTACCTTCACCTCCTCTGGCTGTTATCTGGTGGGGGAGGCTGCAGAAAACCATGGGGGGGGCTGCCGGACACCGGCGGGCCCCCCTATCTCTGTCCCGGGGCTGTGTTGGAATGGATACTGGGCCCCCCTGTAGGCTGAGGCCCCGGGGCGGCTGCACCGGCAGTAGGTCCGCCCCTGGCTCCGAGTTGCCACCTGTCTGCCTGCCAACTTGTGTTTGCCGGGCACTCTTCTCTCCAATGCTCTGGGTTGTGGGCGGGCCCTCGCCATTCCTCATGTACAATGCAGGACTGTATGTGGCAACGTCAAAGTGCAATTGTAAGATGAAGAGAAGAATCTTCCAGGGACCTTATTCCTCTACCACTAGACTTGACAAAAATTTAACGCTTGAGGGTGAAGGAGGTGGGTGTTAGGGGGGTGGGGCTTTTTTATCCCGGAGTTCAGCTTTAAGCCATATTAGACGATTTGGGTGCATTTTGTGTTGAGTTTCTTCATTTATATTATTATGGAAAATATTCTGCAATAGGACAGAATGGCTTTCTACTTCCCAAGAAAAACTTCTTACAGAATGACTCCCTCCCCCTCCCCAAGGTAATTAGGCAAAAGACATTATAGCTATAATACCTACCAGGTTCCCCGCTCTCAGTTCTGTGGAAATGTGAGGCGGGATGAAATATGAAAAGCAGATATCCTATAACTATACAACGGAGGCTGTACATGTGTCACTAGCTGCAAGACTCTGTACAGGTGAGTATCATCATAATACCTGTTGGTGTACATAAGGGGGGAGGGGGCAACTACTTAGCGTGCAAAGTAGAGGGGAGCAAAGTCATCCCGAGGGTAACAGAATTTAAAATGTATCAAATTTATTTTTATTTTTTGAATTAGAAAAACTCATCTCTGCCACTTTAAAGAGATTTCCCTCCACTTCCTGTCCTTTCTCTATATATATAATGAATGTGTGTTTTTGGGTTTATGGAAAGTATTGGAATTTGTAGCTGCTATTTGAAGCTATTTATCGTCACACATTGTATGTAGGGTGGAGTGTTTGGAATATTTACTTTTATAAAGTGAAGTGAAAAAGATTTTACTTTTGTCTGTGTCCCCACTGGGGAGATTCACTCTCTCTGTTTGTGCTGGTGACCATTACCACTTAGATATAAGTGAGGGAAAATCTTCTAATGGGGCGCCAGTTTCAGCGACAACCATCAAAGAGGGGGCTTTCCCTACTTATGAGATATTTCCTCTCACGTTCTATTGTATGTACAGGCAGAGGACGTTGCTACACCCTGGCACATGCCCTAGGTCTTCTGCTGAGGGCTCAAGGTCTTCTGATGGGTCCCCTGGGTCTTCCAGTGAGTGCCCAAGGTATTGTGCTGAGGGTCCATGTCTAATGCAGAGTGCCCCATGACTTCTCCTGAGTGCTCCATGTTTAATGCTGAGTGCCCCATGTCTAATGCTGAGTGCTCCATGTCTAATGCTGAGTGCCCCATGTCTAATGCTGAGTGTCTCGGGTCTTCTCCGGAGTACCCCAGGTGTCCTTTGCAATAATTGTTGCCATTAAATATGATCCTGTAGACGAACATATTTCTATTCCTTCCTCCATTAGTATCAGCATTTCTCCCTCCCAATTATTTAGAACTATGTTATGTAGAGAGTAATCTAGAGAGAATGCGGCATTATAATCTACAACTTGGCTTACTAAGCAAAGGAATGCCCATTGATTAATGATGACATATATTATATACACGGGATGTTTTGGAAACATAGTTTTTAGTCAATTTATTATTTAAGTCGTATCGTACATTTCATTTACATGTTCAGTTATGTCATCAGATGTAAGAGGATTTTTTTGAATACGAGTGTATCAAAGGGCAATGAGAAACAACATCACCTACTAGTTATCATGATATACCAGAAACCCTGCAGAACATTTTAGTCTGAGTGCCTGGCTGTGACCGAGATGTTTTAGGATTCTAGAAATGTTCCTGTCTACAGGACAGAAAGTGCAATGAAAGATAAACTTCACTTTTTTTATACTAGAAACCTCTCAACATTTCCTTCTAGTTCTCCGAGTGTTTTTGGACCCCAGAAATGCCCCCTTTGTACCGTATATGATGAATAAGGGGCTTTGCTTTTCAGACAATGATGCTGGCTGCCCTCCCCTCAATAGGTAGACAGGAAATTAAATCCTCTGATATCTTACAAATGTGTTTTCTTGCAGGCTCAGGAACAAGAACGTGGAAGCGAGTGAACAGCAGCACCTGCGATCCAAGGGAAGAGTGACACTCTACAGACTGTTGGCATCTATAGAGTAAGTGCCTCCCACTACTTACACAGGATGGCATAATGATCTGTCCTCAATCATAAGAAAAAATGGCACCTTTATATATTGACTTTATAATAATGTTTAATAGTTTGTATTAATCCCCTCATTGCCTTTTCACACTATTACATTGCAGTAATGTTACATGTAATGGCAAAATTGCGGCACCATTAATTCCAAATGGCACTCTAACACACTTTGCTGATGGACGAGCATTGCCGTGTAGTGCAATGTGCAGGAACACAGTAACATGCATTGGATTGCGCTGCCAGAGATTGTGCTCCCAGCCTCATCCTGTACAGAGATGATCTCAGTGCCAGCAGGTGTTTGGTATCTACCTGCTTGTTATTTTCTTGTACATTCGCGTAGCCACATCTTTTAATCTATTTTTTTAATCCAATTCCATCATAGTACTAATGCTGCATAGTGTATGAATCTTTATTCTGTGTAGTTCTAAAACCAAACTCACAGATGTGTATTGTGGAGTCTCCTATCAGACGGAGCATTTTGTGACATGATTCCATTAGAAGACTTTGGCTTAATGGAGGTTTACAACTGCTATTAGCAGGCTCTGGCTTAACCCTTTAGTGACGGGAGACATACACTGCACATCCCTGCCACTAAGTGCCCAAATGACTGCTCACATACATTGTACATGATCAGCTATTTGGGGCTCTGCAATGCTGGTAACCGCAGGCATCCATTACTGAAAGAGTTAAGCTTTTTCAGACACCCCATCGCTTTCAGGAATCGAGTGTCTGAAAGTGAGAGCAGAGCGGTATTTGCAGCTCTTGCCGTCACTGGCAGCTGGTATAGATCGGGAAATCCCAATGTATATCGGCTTTTTTTTCTAAAGCTTCAGCAATAGAAATATTTAGCTACATGTTTCTTTTGCAGAAACAATGTTGCAGGTTTTTGATCGTTGCAGGAACGATCGGAAGCCTTTAGTGACACCTGCTCCTAAAATGCTGCAGGATCCGTGTCACTAAGGTTATTATTGGCTGTACAATTACAAATAGATGAATGTATTTAATGCATCTTGTTTAGCTGTGCTATTTTGCTAAAACATACTAAAAATCAAAACTGGGGAAAAAGTGTTTTCTTCACGTTTTGTCCTCAATTTTAATATTTTATTTGTCCTAAGTGAGGCGTTAGGCACACACAGGGCCGCCATCAGGGGGGGGTACGGCTGATACTCATCAAGGGGACCGGGCAGCCTGGGGGGCCCACCTGGGACCCTTACATGAGTATCGGCCGACGGTGAAGGGCGTGGAGGCGGTCGAGCCCCCGCAGCAGCAGCGGCGGAGGCCTGGCCCTAGCAGCACAGGGCACCAGCTTTGCCACTCCAGCGGCTTTGAGACAAGCTGGGGCCACATCAGCTGCTCGTCTGAAGACGGACTCTCAGGTGGGTCCTGCGTCCAGCTCGTCACTAAGCCCTGCGTCCTTTGGGTCACAAAGCCCTGCGTTCAGCGTGTCACTAAGCCCTGCGTCCAGCGGGTCACTAAGCCCTGCATCCAGCGCATTATTAAGCCCTGCGTTCAGCACGTCACTAAGCCCTGCGTCCAGCGGGTCACTAAGTCCTGCGTCCAGTGGGTCACTAAGCCCTGCGTCCAGCGGGTCACTAAGCCCTGCGTCCAGCGGGTCACTAAGCCCTGCGTCCAGTGGGTCACTAAGCCCTGCATCCAGTGGGTCACTAAGTCCTGCGTCCAGCGGGTCACTCAGCACTGCATCCAGCGGGTCACTAAGCTCTGCGTCCAGCTGGCCACTCAGCCCTGTGTCCAGTGGGCCACTCAGCCCTGTGTCCAGCGGGTCACTAATCCCAGAGTCCAGCGGGTCACTAATCCCAGAGTCCAAGGGGTCACTGAGCCCAGAGTCCAAGGGGTCACTAAGCCCAGAGTCCAGCGGGTCACTGATCCCTGCGTCCATCCCACTGCAGCTCCTGCTTCTGAAGCACCCAGTGGATCTCTGGTAGTTGGATCCATTCCACTGCCTATCTATAGTGACTCGGTCACCTCTGGCCGCCTGAACACTTATCAGCACCAGCTTCTGAGCATTGGAGACCTTGCATTACATTGGGCCTAGTTGTTGACCACAACATGACACAACATTTCTTCTCAATGATACACAGAGGACAGTCCTTTTGTTACAGGTGCCCATACTCCCCGAATGGTTCTGGAGGAATTTGCCCAGTATCCCGATGGAACTGACCCCTCTAATACAGAACCTCTATCATGATCGGGTTTTTCTATGTAGAGTCTATTTTAGCTCCATCAGACGGCACCAAGTCCTTCCTCAAGTCCACTATGGACTTCCCAGCTGTTTGTACCCAGCAACTGGATCATTCTATCCATAAGGGTTCTGTGACAGTTTTGAGGTCTGAAAACCCCCAAACTATGTGCTAATAATAGACTTGTGCGCTGTCAAAAAATGTGTTCCATTTCAGAATATCCGTTATTTCGTATTTCGTAATTCGTATCCGAAACTCAATTCGGATTCGTACGAAATACGAATTTTCGTTAGTTTCGGCACATTTTCGTAACTTTACGAACATTCGTTATGATGAAGTTAAAAAGCAAAAATACCTTTGTTAATATTGGAGTCGATGTGGTAGTTGTTTTTTTATGCGAAATACGAATTCCGTTAACGGATTCCGGATCCGAATTTCGTATTTCGGATAACAAAAAAAACTACCATCAACTCCAATCTAAATGTACTTTGCTTTGTAACTTCAATATAAGAATGTTCGTAACGGAACCAAATTCCGTCAACGGAATTTCGTATTTCCTGCCTGTGTATTGTAATGCAACTCTCAGCAGCAGCGGATCCGTATTTCGGATTTAAAAAAAAATCTTGTCATGTTGTTCAACCTCATTTACATTTTACAGGGGTAATATTAGTTCCTGTTTCACAGAAATTCGGATCCGAAATTCGTTAACGGAATTTAGTATTTCGGATATAATTCGGAAACTGCCATTCGGATTTCGGATGCTTCCGAATTTACGAATTTCAGGAAAATTCGTACGAATTTCGATTCGTAACAAAACGAATCGCACATGTCTAGCTAATAATGGGGAAGTCAAACTGAGTACGGTGCCACCATAATATCTCCAGAATTTGCAAGTCAGCGACAAAATATTCAGATGTAAATGTTATGTCTGTGAGGGAGAGGAGACTACAGACGCAGACAGGCCCGGTGTCATTAAACCCCATTACCAAGATGTCTCTTAACCCCTTCATGACTCAGCTTGTTTCCAGTTTCTGACACACTTTTGACATTGTTGCTGTGTGATTCTTCCACGTCAGCAATATACTTTCTTACAAAGTGCAGCCACACATATTATATATTGTTTTTAAGAGAACAGATAGGATGTATTTATATCACATATGTGTGCCCAGGGCAGCCATCAGAAATGTTTTACACCAGCAGCTGTGCATTGCAGTGGATCAGCTGGTGTGAAGGCAGCCGAAATGGTGGATCGAGGTTCAGACACAAACTGACTGATCTGTCCGGACTGAGATTCCAACCTCAGCTTACATAGTTACATAGTTACATAGTATTTGAGGTTGAATAAAGACATTAGTCCATCAAGTCCAACCTATTAGGATCTCGTTCTAGGAGTAACTGTACCCCTGTATATTACCTGTACCCCTTTATATTACTCTGTTAACACCCTCCCCGATGTCATTAATAAATAAGTTGAACAATATGGGACCCAGCACAGAACCCTGAGGCACACCGCTCATTACACTAGCCCAGTCTGAAAAGGTGCCATTTACAGATACCCTCTGGACACGTTCCCGTAGCCAGTTCTCTATCCATGTACACACCACCTCATCTATGCCCATAGCCCTCAGCTTGTGTAGCAAGCGCTTGTGTGGTGCCGTATCAAATGCCTTTGCGAAATCCAGATATACAAATTGAGAAGCTTGATAAACAAATATTATATACCGGACCTCCTTGAATTTTAATTGACTTCCCCTGCCCTAGACAAAAGGAGCAATGCATCCTTCATCAGCTGGGGAAGGGGGGAGGGCATTTCACAACTTCCTGGAGTTTTTCTTTAATCATTGTGTGTTTGATTATTGCTTAATCTATTGATTACCCTATTGATTGGTTCATTAAGCAGGTGAATGTATTTCTGTATTATGTCACTGTCTGAGTATGGTAATGGGATCTCTGTGTCCTCAGGCCCGGTCCAGAATGATGAAGGCTCTGGTGACTTTGCTATTGCTGGGGTGGTTGGGTCTGGCTGGGTGCTGCAGCCCTGAACCTGGAGGTAAGAATAATGTAAAGGTGAAAAAGCAAATAATAATGACTATGGGGCACTTGAGGAGGAGGAAGGTCTGAATACATTCTCAGCACAGCAGCTAGTTGATAAAAAGAAATAATAGGTTTGCTTTGCAGAGCTTTGTGTATCAATCCGCTGTATATTAGAGGAAGCTGCTGCAATCTACAAAGTTCTGATACCCCGAATATCAGAAATATATGTAACTGTATAAGTAGGGGGGAGGAGATTTCTGCACTCACCTATCACAGTGTATTGGATCAGTTGCTGTAACAAGTTGCAATGGATACAAAGTTACAATGTGAAATACAGCTGAGTTTTCCTTTCAGAGTCAGAGCCGTCCATTGTGATCCCCATTGTAGAAGCATTGCATTTAGGTGTTTAGTAGGGATGAGCTCCAGTCTGGACTGAACCTGAGTTCAGCACCCCAGAAGGAAGCTGTCAGGTCAGGCCCATTTAGCTGCGGCCGGGACATTCCCTGCAGCTGCATGTAAACAAAGGAATGGAGTGATGGTGACATCATTGACCTTATATAGCCTGCTTGTTCCAAACTTCCATGTATATCATTGATTAAAATAGAATGTTTATTAACTTAATTCTCATATTCTAACAAAAGGGGAAAATTACTTTTTTACCAAAAGTCTTACATTTGCCCCTTCATAGTCCCTCCCATTCATTTTTGTTTTAGTATTGAGGAGGACATGGGACAAGAATACATTCTATTTTATTCCATGATTTACATAGCATGTATAGAACAAGCAGGCAGGAAGGAGGAAACTGGAGCTGATAGAGAGGAGAGAGCTGAGAGTCACCGGCCACCTGAGGAGGAGGAGGAGTGTCCACTTCTTGAAACAAGTTGACTGACAGCTAAGAAGACCCGAGCGAAACACTATGGACTGAACCCGAGCTCATGCATTTGTCAATAACCAAACAAGGCCATGTGACCATATAAGGTCAATGATGTCACTTGCCCCTTTGTTTGCATGCAGCTGTGGGTGGGGAATGCCCTGGCTACAGCTGGTTGGATCAGCACCGGCAGCTTTCTTCCAGGGCTCCAATAAGCTTGGGTTTGCTCCAAACTGGAGCTCATCCCTACTGAACAGTGAACACCTGAATGTGCATGAGCGGCTTTTCTGCCTCAGACCTTGCACCTTGCTGGCCACCAGCATGAGGATCTTATCGACTGGAACTTTATACCTGTTATTACAGACAGCTTCCCTTCACTGACAAATCCTAGGGACTGATAAGCAAACAGCGCTGTTCAACTCTACACCACCCCCAATGATAATTCACCTCCACACCACCCCCTATGATAATTCAACTCTACACCACTCCCTATGATAATTCAACTCTACACCACTCCCTATGATAATTCAACTCTACACCACTCCCTATGATAATTCAACTCTACACCACTCCCTATGATAATTCAACTCTACACCACTCCCTATGATAATTCAACTCTACACCACTCCCTATGATAATTCAACTCTACACCACTCCCTATGATAATTCAACTCTACACCACTCCCTATGATAATTCAACTCTACACCACTCCCTATGATAATTCAACTCTACACCACTCCCTATGATAATTCAACTCTACACCACTCCCTATGATAATTCAACTCTACACCACTCCCTATGATAATTCAACTCTACACCACTCCCTATGATAATTCAACTCTACACCACTCCCTATGATAATTCAACTCTACACCACTCCCTATGATAATTCAACTCTACACCACTCCCTATGATAATTCAACTCTACACCACTCCCTATGATAATTCAACTCTACACCACTCCCTATGATAATTCAACTCTACACCACTCCCTATGATAATTCAACTCTACACCACTCCCTATGATAATTCAACTCTACACCACTCCCTATGATAATTCAACTCTACACCACTCCCTATGATAATTCAACTCTACACCACTCCCTATGATAATTCAACTCTACACCACTCCCTATGATAATTCAACTCTACACCACTCCCTATGATAATTCAACTCTACACCACTCCCTATGATAATTCAACTCTACACCACTCCCTATGATAATTCAACTCTACACCACTCCCTATGATAATTCAACTCTACACCACTCCCTATGATAATTCAACTCTACACCACTCCCTATGATAATTCAACTCTACACCACTCCCTATGATAATTCAACTCTACACCACTCCCTATGATAATTCAACTCTACACCACTCCCTATGATAATTCAACTCTACACCACTCCCTATGATAATTCAACTCTACACCACTCCCTATGATAATTCAACTCTACACCACTCCCTATGATAATTCAACTCTACACCACTCCCTATGATAATTCAACTCTACACCACTCCCTATGATAATTCAACTCTACACCACTCCCTATGATAATTCAACTCTACACCACTCCCTATGATAATTCAACTCTACACCACTCCCTATGATAATTCAACTCTACACCACTCCCTATGATAATTCAACTCTACACCACTCCCTATGATAATTCAACTCTACACCACTCCCTATGATAATTCAACTCTACACCACTCCCTATGATAATTCAACTCTACACCACTCCCTATGATAATTCAACTCTACACCACCCCCTATGATCATTCAACTCTACACCACCCCTTAATGATACATCGGATAAATAAGCAACAATTCAATAAACTGTGAACTGCACACATTAAAAAAAACAATTCTGCAATCTGTTAGCCTGAGAGCAAAACCTTCGTAACCGGCCTGATGGAAGTGTAGCAAACAAGGATTACCCGGGGTGTGTACAATCATTGTAAATGTGACAGGCAATTCAAACAAATTTCTGTCAAATTAGAAAATAGAGAACCAAGCTCATCCCTCCTCCTGATTAGTGATGGGCCGAACAGGCCCGAGTTCGGCTTGAATTCGAACTTTAGAACATCCAAAATGTTCGAACTTGAACTCAATGCAAGTCAAAGGTGGTAGAACTTTCAAAAACAATTGTCCCCTTTAAGAGGGCTTATATGCAAGTTATTGGCCATAAAAAAGGTGTATGGGGGGTCCAGGTACTGCCCTAGGGGACAGAAATCAATTTAAAAAAAATAACTAGCATAGGCCTGACAGGTCCAGAAAGGGGGGGACCAGTGAGCGCCCACCCCTCCCATACCAGGCCACATGCCCTCGGCACTGCGAGGGTGGGGTCGCCCCTGGAAAAGTACTCTGTGCCGATGGGGACAAGGACCTCTTCCCCACAAGCCCTGGGGCGTTGGTTGTGGGTCTGTGGGCAGGGGGCTTATACCTCTTTAATAAAGGGGCACCCACATGCCGCCTTCCCCCCTTGTGAATGAGTAAGGGGTACTGTGCCCCTCCCCATTCACTAAAGGGTTAAATCAAATTGTAAATAAAAAGTCCAGACTTTGAGAAAAATCTTTTATTTGGAAAAAACAAAAGACAAGTTTTTGACAAGAAACAAAAACAAAAAATGGATCCATCGTTGTAATCCAGCGTCAATCACGACTTCCAGCGTTGTCCACGGCGACTTGACGAAATAAAAAATAAAACTATAAAAAATAAAAAACCCGACGAGCGCCGTCCCATCCGCACGTGAGGAACACCCGCCGCACAATGGCATTTTGACAGATGCCGGCAAAACATAAACAATTGGGCGGAGCTAGCAGTGACAGCTAGCTCCACCCAACTGTTTACAGTTGTAACAGGGTGAGCCATGACTGGGCAGAATCATGACTTTGCCCAATCATGGCTCTCACAGAGTACTGAGCCCTGATTGGGCAAAGTCTTGCACCTGACCTATGGTCAGGTGCAAGGCTTTAGCCAATCAGGGCTCACAAGGCACAGTGCCTTGTGCTGGGTGTTTGTGTATTCGACTCGAACATCGAGCCCATCCCTACTCCTGATATATTCTGCTGATGAGAGATTAGAAAGGACTCTGTGTAGAAACTTTGGTATTAGTGCAGTTTTGCGCTGAGCGCTGTTGGTACATTTATAATATAATGGAGGCCGTCATTCATTGTAGAGTCACAGGAAGTTACCAAATCAGAAGTGTTACAATTAAATGACGATCCCTATATTAGAAATCCCAGTAGGGAGCTCTATATTCCATCTTCTCATTCATTAAATGAGAATTGGTTAACAAAATAGAGTTGAATTACTAAAGCCAAATAGGCTGATCACTATACAAGGGAATTTTCTCATTGCTTGGTGAATGATTTGCTGACTTCCATCATCCAATCAGGTGCAAGCACAAAGACTGTTTTCCTTGATTGAGTATTCTCTGCAAAGTGAACAACCACTGTAATATGAGGACCTATCTAATCTAACCAATCAATTTGTGTCCAATCAGGCAGGCCCTTGCATTGCATAGTTTGTGGTAGAGATTGTACAATCAGATTGTAATGTGTGTGTGGTGAAGAGAAGAAAAAAACATTTTGAGGTTAAATAGCAGAATACTAGAACATGTGTCAGCATTTATTGTAATCTGTGGCAGATTTCCCCTCACTCAGGGCCGGCCTCTAAGGCCCGGCCCTGCCCTCACTTCCTGTCTGATAAAAAGTTTGTGCCCAGAAAGGGAAGTGAGGGGAAATCTCTCTGACAGAGCCCCAGATAGCAGTGAAACCTGACAGGGGTTCTGACCTTTTCCCATTCTATAAGTTCTGGGTATAGATGGAGTTTTAGCGATTAATATTAGTATTAGTTATTATATAACGACATCACAGAATGACATCAGCAATTCATTACATTACAGAATGTTCCAGCAAATTACTGACAACGTTGCAGCTTACAGTCTATTTCCTGATGAAGACGTCTTTAGAACAATGGAAGAACATTATATGTATAATCATGGAGTGTGTTTTGTGTTTCTTTCTTCAGCCGCCAATATCGCCAGAAGCGGGGAAGCCACACAGAGTTCTACTTACATTTATACAAATAAAAGTACTGTTGCTAGCAATGCCATTGATGGTGGGACAGATCAGAACTGGTTTCATGGTTCCTGTACCCACACAAATAATGACATGGCACCCTGGTGGAGACTGGACCTGAAGCAGAAATACAAAGTGAACATCGTTGTGGTCTATGGAAGGTCAGACTGCTGTTGGTATCGGATGAAGGGCCTCGAGCTCCGCGTTGGAGATTCTCCGAACAATGACAACCCAGTGTGAGTACATCAGGGCCAGGACACTGTAAGGTCTGACGTCAATAGACTTTGTGCGTGTGTTGATGGCATCAGATGGAGATGCTTCTGAGATTATTTCGAATTCATTAATAGGTGCATGTGACCTGCCGTTGACTTCCCTCTGACCTGTAATTGACCTCATTTGAACTTGCAGTTGACCTCCTTCTGATCACCATTTGACCTGTATTCTCATAGACCTGTCTCAGAGTAAAAAAAAAAAAACTAATCTGAACAAAAGCCCATCAATATAGGCAATAAATGTGATAGGCGTCCAGTGCCACCTTGAACCCAAAATAAGAGACAGCACTGTGTGACTGGATTTTACCCACAGAGCAAGCTTCTGATAACAAAGACATCATTAAATATAAATTTAGACTGGGGTACCTGGGGCCCACCAGACGAAGTGAGAGTGAGGGCCCACCTTCAAGCGCTATGCACTATAATGAACAGTGATAAGCTTCTGGTTGACTACAAGCTCAACCCTGAACTCAAGCTGTTGGCAGTGTGACAAATGGGTGAATGGTTTGCCCAGCTCCGCGCCCACCAAACCTCTTTGTCCTAGCAACCAATGATAATGTTTGACCTGTCGAGGCATCATTGGTTGACTGGTGGCTGAGCCACATGGCATCTATGGTTGCCAGGATGCAGACGGGTGACACAAAAAAAAACCTATGATGCTGTGGAGCCTCCAGCATCTTAGCAACCAATAATGCTGGTTGCTAGGACACAGGCAGACCAGGCAGACACAGACAGCCCTACATAGGCATCATTGATGGTTAAGGTGCCCATACCCCTGCCGATTATTGTACGATAATCGGCAGGTGTGTGTAGGGCATGCAACCGTTTCTACTGTAAGGTCGCGCGTCTTTTGTCTCCCGAGCAGGCTTGAAAACCCTCCGAGAATCGTACGATTTTCAGCGGGTTAGTGTCGTTCTCGAGAGACAAATGCCGCAAGCGCACACTGCCCGCTCAGCATTGGAAGCATCGGAAGCCCTCCCTCGAAGATCGCAAGCACGATCTGCCTGTCCAAGGTGGGCAGATCGTACAAGCTTTTAATTACCTTACAACCATCGCAGGATGGAAGTAGTGAGATGGTTTGTAAGGAGTATGGCCAGCTTTAGTCTCCAAGATAGACCAGCTGCTAGCAAAAAATTATGATAGTACACAGCAGGGACGTGCGGTCAGGGGGGCCTCACCTAGTATCATGGAGAAAAAAGCTGTCAGCTTCAAGTCTGAAGCTGACAGCTTTTCCTCCATTCAGAGCGGCTTGTTACAGGTTACAGAGCAGGGAAATCCTCCCCGCTGTGTATCCTGTCATGGATGGAACGCTGCCTGTTAATTACAGGCGGTGCTGCATCCGTCTTTTGACAGGTAGTTAGGTTGCACAGCCGCGGGCTTCCCCAGTGCTTGTGTAACCTAACTATTGAGGCCAGAGCTGTCACAGCCTCTACTCTGTGTTAGAGGTGTGAGCTATGTGGACGGCTTGGACCAATGGCAAAACGCCATTGGTCCAAGCTGTCCAATCAAAGAAAGAAAAGAAAAAAACAGTGAGGCCATCGATCTCGTTGCCTCAGCAGTGAGGAGTAAGTGAGGGACAGGGAGGCTCTTCCCTGTCTCCTCCCTTCCTCCTTCACACTAGCTTGGAAACCGGGTTGGGGGCGGTGCTTCGGTGGTGTGGGGGGGGCGGGGCTTTAGCAGGCAGGGGGCGGGATGTGCTGGGAGGGGAGCGAGGTTGGGTAATGCCTCACCCCGAACCAGAGGTACCGCACGTCACTGCTACACAGACTGCCCTGGCTTTTGTTGGCTTGAACGTTTGCCAAACCCGGATATCTGGCTGGGTTCAGAGAACATCTAAGTGACTGAACCCAGGCCAGTTTACTTATCACTAGTGGTGAAGAGGGGGTTTGGCTGACTCTGAGGGGGCGTGGTTTAATGGGGACGGTTTAACAGTGATATTAGTAAGTGTCCCCGAAGTCACTCCGCTCATCTCTGTTGCCTAGTTATTATTCATATTTGTGTCTTATTAAGCCGCATAGCAGTGTATGTTTTCTATGGGCACATTTTTGAATCTCCCCCAAGTGAACGGGTTCCATTCTCTGTATCATTGTGTTGGTCTTTGCTTGTCCTTGGCAGGTGCGGTACGATCACCAACTCTAATATTACCACCACAACTTTCTGCTGCGATGGGATGGAGGGTCGATACATCAGCGCGGTGATCCCAGGGCGCAGTGAACTCTTGCACCTGTGCGAGGTGGAAGTCTACGGTGAGCTTGCGCCTGAGGAGTATGACGTCTGCTAGTAATCCTCAGAAGTACATTGTAGAAGAAATACTTAAAGTTCATAATAAAATGTCATGTCTATAGGGAACATATCCTCAAGACCTCCGAAATTGTGACACATCTATGTTTCCCCAGCTGTCTGGAGGAGGATGTTTTCCGCAGCACACCTTGTAGTTGTCAAATAATGGATCTAAAAAAAAAAAAACTATGTTACTCAGAAAGACAAAAACTGCTGTGTTCATGTCTAAGGGGTCTATTTATAAACAATTCACAGAGCTATTCACCCTGCGAATCTGTATGAGATGATGATTTGCCGGCTTCCTTCATCCAATCAGGTGCAAGCAAAAAGACTGTTTTCCTGGATTGGGTATTCTTTGCAAAGTGAATTTTCACAGCAAATACTAAGCTAAGTGCAAATTCCCTTGTAAAGTGAACAGCCAATGTAATATGAGGACCCATCTAATCTAACCAATCACTTTCTATCCAATCAGACAGGTCCTTGTATTACATGGTTTGTGGTAGAGCTAAAGGAGATTGTACAATGGGATGGTAACGTGTGTGGTGAGTATAGCGGGAGCTCAGACAGAAGAAAAAATAATGCGAGAACATCTGTCAGCATTGTATTGTAATCTGTTTCCCTGTGGTCCCTCACTTCAGGAAGTGAAGGGAAATCTCTCTAATGGAGCCCCGGATAGCATTGCATAGTTGGTGGTAGAGATTGTACAATGGGATTGTAACGTGTGTGGTGAGTATAGCAGGAACTCAGACAGAAGAAAAAATATTTTTTGGTTACATAGAGGAATGCGAGAACATCTGTCAGCATTTAATGTAATCTGTGCTCATGTGGCAGATTTCCCCTCACTTCCTGTCTGGTAAAAAGTGTGTGCCCAGAAAAGGTAGTGAGGGGAAGTCTCTCTAATGGGCTCTGGATAGAGTTTTTCAGGGCTACCCATAAAGCGCGGATCCACATTTTTTACAAATTAGTGACAACGTTGCAGCTTACAGTCTATTTCCTGATGAAGACGTCTTTAGAACAATGGAAGAACATTATATGTATAATCATGGAGTGTGTTTTGTGTTTCTTTCTTCAGCCGCCAATATCGCCAGAAGCGGGGTAGCCACGCAGAGTTCCTACTACATTTCAACTATAAGTAGTGTTGCTAGCAATGCCATTGATGGTGGGACAGATCAGAACTGGTGGAATGGTTTCTGTACCACCACAGATGATGAATGGGAATCCTGGTGGAGACTGGACCTGCAGCAGAAATACAAAGTGAACATGGTTGTGGTCTATGGCAGGTCGGACTGCTGTAAGGAACGGATGAATGGTCTCGAGGTCCGCGTTGGAGATTCTCCAAACAATCACAACCCAGTGTAAGTACATCAGGGCCAGGACACTGTAAGGTCCGACGTCAATAGACTTTGTGCGTGTGTTGATGGCATCACATGGAGATGCTTCTGAGATTATTCGGAATTCATTGACAGGTGCATGCGACCTGCATTTGACCTCATTTGAACTTGCAGTTGACCTCCTTCTGATCAGCATTTGACCTGTATTCTCATAGACCTGTCTCAGAGTTACAAAACGCATCTGAACAAAAGCCCATCAATATAGGCCCTAAATGTGATAGGCATTCAGTGCCACCTTGAACCCAAAATATGAGACAGCACTGCGTGACTGGATTTTACCCACAGGGCAAGCTTCTGATAACAATTACATTATTAAATATAAAATTAGACTGGGGTACCTGGGGCCCACCATACAAAGTGAGAGTTAGGGCCCACCTTCAAGTGCTATGTACTGTGTTGAACAGGGATGAGCTTCAGGTCAACTACGAGCTCAACCCTGAACCCAAGCTGTTGGTAGTGTGACAAATGGGTGAATGGTTTGCCCAACTCCCCGCCCACCAAACCTCTTTGTCCTAGCAACCAATGATAATGTGCGACCTGCCGAGCATCATTGATTGACTGGTGGCTGAGCCACATGGCATCTATGGTTGCCAGGATGCAGACAAGTGACCCAAGAAAACCAATGATGATGTGGACCCGTCAGCAGCTTAGCAACCAATAATGCTGGTTGCTAGGACACAGGCAGCCCCATCATTGATTGTTAGTCTCCAAGACAGACCAGTTCCTAACAACCAATAATGATAGTACACAGACTGCCCTGGCTTTGCTTGACTTGAACGTTTGCCAAACCCGGATTTCTAGCTGGGTTCAGAGAACATCTAAGTGACTGAACCCAGGCAAGTTTACTTATCACTAGTGGTGAATAGCAGGTTTGGCTGACTCTGAGGGGCGTGGGTAAACTGTTACGGGTTATCAGCGATATTAGGTCAATGCCCCCGAAGTCACTCCGCTCATCTCTGTTGCCTAGTTATTATACATTTCTGTGTTTTATTAAGCCGCATAGCAGTGTATGTTTTCTATGGACACATTTTTCTCCCCCAAGTGAACGGGTTCCATTTTCTGTATCATTGTGTTGGTCTTTGCTTGTCCTTGGCAGGTGCGGTACGATCACCGACTCTAATAATATCACGACAGCTTTCTACTGTAATGGGATGGAGGGTCGATACATCAGTGCGGTGATCCCGGCGCGCAGTGAATACTTGACCCTGTGCGAGGTGGAAGTCTATGGTGAGCTTGCGCCTGAGGAGTATGACGTCTGCTAGTAATCCTGAGAAGTACATTGTAGAAGAAATAGTTTAAGTTCATAATAAATTGTCATGTCTATAGGGAACATATCTTCAAGACCTCCGAAATTGTGACACATCTATGTTTTCCTAGCTCTCTGGAGGAGGATGTTTTCCGCTGCACACCTTGTAGTTGTGAAATAATAGATCTAAAAATAATAATAAAACTATATCACTCAGAAAAACAAACTGCTGTGTTCATGTCTAAGGGGTCTATTTATAAACAATTCACAGAGCTATTCACCCTGCGAATCTCTGGGAACGTTCATTCTGTGCGTCATTCTGTCACTATGTCACCCTGAAGAAGGGACCCTGCGTGGCCCCCGAAACGTTGTCTTAATGACGCTTGTGACATGTTTCTTCAAACGATGCAATGTAATACAATACCACATAATGGTCACCAGATGGAGATGAGGAGCACAGGAAATAAATATCATTCATATTCCATAACTCCTACTGTAATGTAGTTACCTTCCTTTTATTATATTATAATTTCTTATAATTGTGAAAAAGTGTCAGGCAGGGCTCAGGACAAAGCTCTAGGGACAAAATTGAAGTGAAATAGTTTGATTCATAAGTGTAATCATAGCAGATTACATTGTATTGTGTGTATTCTGTGTACATTACAACTTTTTCACTTTGGAATTTCCCGCCTGCTGTGACGCCCTAAAACGAAACTAAAATTTTGCTTGGTCAGTCCATCACCTTTACCCTTAGCTTCTTTAGCAAGGCAGTGGTCATCTTGGAGGTGTGTTTGGGGTCGTTATCATGTTGGAATACTGCCCTGCGGCCCAGTCTCCGAAGGGAGGGGATCATGCTTCAGTATGTCACAATACATGTCGGCATTTATGGTTCCCTCAATGATTTGTAGCTCCCCAGTGCAGGCAGCATTCATGCAGCCCCAGATCATGACACTCCCACCACCATGCTTGACTGTAGGCAAGACACACTTGTCTTTGTACTCCTCACCTGGTTGCCTCCACACACGCGTGACACCATCTGAACCAAATAAGTTTATATTGGTTTTATCAGACCACAGGAGATGGTTCCAGTAATCCGTGTACTTATTCTGCTTGTCTTCAGCAAACTGTTTGCGGGCTTTCTTGTGCATCATCTTTAGAAGAGGCTTCCTTCTGGGACGACAGCCATGCAGACCAATTTGATGCAGTGTGCGGCGTATGGTCTGAGCACTGACAGGCTTGTCATATAAATGTTTTTTGACCATTTTAATAGTTTTCTCTATATAGGAAGCACCACGAGCGCAAATCAGTATATAGATAACCCCGCGAGTGTCACAACTCTGAGATTCCCAAAACATCTTATTGTTTTCCTTTTTGAGAAAGTTATTGTATTGCGCTCAATCACATAATTATAATACTCACAATTCCACATTTTCTATCTCCCAGGGCGCTATGTTCCAGGGAGCTATGTACGAAAATATCATCCCCTGGTCATTTGGGGATGCTGATGTGTTATTACAACTGGGTGGAGCCAGCCGTGAGATCACGGCTGGCTCCGCCCAGCTATCATCTGCATGGAGATCGGTCTGCTGACCTTTCTCCCTGCTTTGGCTGTGAATACGACTCAGCCAAGCTGAAGCCTATGGGTTCGGCTCAGCTGAGCCGCTCGGCTGCTGTACGGGCTATAGTGAATATTGTGAATAGCCCGTACACCAGCCCTTTGGCTGTGGATTGGGCTTGTATATGGGTGGAGCACAAGGGGGCCCCATAATATTGTATTGCCCGGGGGCCCCATGTGTTGTCAGTCTGCCCCTGATATGGGGGGTTATTCACTAAAGAGCCAAAGGATCCAGCCGTAGCTTTGGCTGATCCTTCGGCTCTCTTCAGCCGCCGGAGCCCTTTGGTTCAGTCACAATAGCCTGTACAGCAGCCGAAGGCAGCCTAACGGCTCAGCCGAGCTGAAGGCATATGCTTTGGCTCAACTGAGGCGAAGTGACAGCCGAAGCGTGGCGAAAGGCCTGCCCGTTCTCCCAGCAAATGACAGCTGGGAGGGGCCAGCCGTGATCTCACATCTCGCTCCGCCCAGTTGTAATGACAGATCAGCGTCCCCAAATGACCCGGGGACGCTGATCTGTCACTAAACAATAACAACTGGGCGGAGCCGGCCGTGACGTCTCAGCTGCAGAGTTGTTAGTTAATGCCCAGGACATGCTAGGAGACTCTGGCAGGTGCCGGCCAATAGGAAACTGTTAGGTGGAGCTAGCTGTCACCGCTAGCTCCGCCCAATTGTTTTTTTTTTCTTTTCTTTAAAATATATATTTGTTTATTTCTCCTATTTTTCATCATTGTTAAAATGATTTTAACTTTTTTTTTTCATTCTTTACAATTCTTTTCTATTCTGCTCGGTACCTTGGAGGTACTCACTTACTACCGTTCAGCGCGTCTGAGAATAGGGGCAAACGACAGCGAGTGAGCTGCCAGAGCTTCGTATCAGCCGATCCAGATGTTGGATCGGCTGAGTCGAAGTCCCTCTGCACTTCGTCTCAGCTAAATATGCAGAGCACGTTCGGGTGACCGAAGGCAGCCTATATACGGCTGATTTCGGCAACTTTGTGAATAACCCCTTAAGACTTTAAAAACCGTCCGGGAAATGCTCTCCGCTCAATCGTACGTCCTTTACGTGTCCTCAATCCGCCCTAAACGCGTTTCGTCATTCCGACTTTCTCAAAAGGATGGCAGATCTCATTGACAGCTCACCCTCGCTCTATCTTATACTGCTCGTATCTCACCAGATCTTAATTAGCTTGGTTTAGTTTCACCACTAGAGGTCTCTCCGAGCTATTTAAAGGAGAACTATGGGATCAGGGTTTTTCCCCATAGTTCTCCTAAGGGTAATAGGAGGACACAAACTAGCGTCCTCACGTCACCCTCCCGCTACAGCTCACGGTATACTGAGACGCCGCAGCCGGGAAGGATCCCAACATTACTGTCTGGGTCCACCCAGCTGCGTGAGTGACAGTTGGCTCTGCCTATCTACCGTGTTTCTCCGAAAAATAAGACACTGTCTTATATTTTTTTGGCCTCAAATAAACACACTAGGTCTTATTTTTGGGGTAGGTCTTATTTTTTTTCATATACAACAATCCAAAGTTCATGCAAATCCAAATTGAATAATCCAAAATGGCAAAGTTAAGAATAAGGTGATCAGGGCACTCAGGGGTGCCGTACCTTTCCAAGAGCGATTTGGTAACCAGAATGAGCGAAGCGCGCTTTCACTATGATTCCTCACAGGCGGAGTGCATTTGGTATCACTCCGCCTGTGACAGGAGCCGGCGCTATAGAGGAGGCATTGGCTTATGCGGCTCTGCTCCCTCCGGTGCCGCCTCGCTTCCTGTAGAGCTGGCTTCGTTGGCAACGCTGATTCTCTCCTGCCTCTCTTCAAGTTCCCCCTTATGCCACCACCGGCCCTGGGAATGGTCACAACTAGGTCTTATTTTCGGGGTAGGTCTTATATATTTTAGCAATTCCCAAAAATAGTACTAGGTCTTATTTTCGGGATAGGTCTTATTTTCAGGGAAACAGGGTAGAGGCAGAGCCAGCTGTACCCGCCCCCTCTCCCGTCCGTTCCACCAGTCAGCGCTGGAGAATCGGAGCGGGGAGGGGGGAATCCCTGCAGGGAGAGGTGAGTGGCAGTCACGGCTCTCTGCAGGGATAGATCGAGAAGTGAGCGAACGCTGGTATGTGTTTGCTCACTTCCCGATCTATTGAACCGACCTGTGACAGTTTAATTGTCACAGGTCGGCTAGAAAAAGTGATTTTCACTCGCCTCATAGTTCTCCTTTAAGATATATTACATCAATCAGAAGTACATAAAATCGTTATTCAACATCTATCATGAATATAAATATAGGAGGAGATTTTTACTAATATACTAGATGCTATAGATTTCAATCTGAATTGTTTTTTAAGTAACTATTAATTGCTTATAAGTTCTTTAAAGATCCGAATTGGTGTTACTTTTTAACAATATTTTTAATAGTGGTAAAAAATCTCCCCTTATATTTATATTCATTATAGATGTTGAATAACGATTTTATATTCTTCTGATTGATGTAATATATTTTAAATGACTTGGAGAGACCTCTAGTGGTGAAGCTAAACCAAGCTAATTAAGATCCGGTGAGGTACGAGCAGTATAAAGGTGCCCCCGTTTCTACTGTACGGTCGCACGTCTTCCGTCGAACCAGCATGTTCGAAAACCAGCCGGGAGTCGTACGATTCTCGGCTGGTTAGAACGGTGCTCGGAAGACAAATGGCGAACGGGCCGGTGTGCGCACGCGCACACAGCCCGTTTGTAACAGGTGCACTCGATCACTCACCTGTTCCTCGTTCCAGGACTCCTCCCCCACTCCCTAGTTAAGGCTGAACGTTACACTTGCCTGACGTTCGAGCAAGTGTGAAGACGCCAGGCAAGTTCCTGTATCCCAGCACCGAACCTCTTCCTCTTATTGGGCCGGACAGAGCCCCTCCAAAACCACCAGCACATCCTGCTTTGACTTCCCTCCAGCCCTGCAATTCGGTCTCCACTACCTCCTTCATCCCCAGCTTCAGCAAGGACTATTACAATCCGGACTGCAGTTACTCTAAGGATCCACCGGAGGGCACCAACATTCTCCTTATCATTCCTATCAACTAAAATAGCAGTAAGCATACCACAGACTGTGATTTCCAAATGCTTGCATATTGATAGAACTGTGCATAGGGATAACTTGATTGCTCCCATTGATTGTTGTCATCCTTCACCCCACTAATCTAAAAGGACTACTCCCTACAATAAAACCTCATCTATTTTTCATGCTAAGTAATTGTTGCCTAACTCATTACCATAAGACTGTAAATTCACTGTGGTGTAGGATTGCACCCCCTCCTCATACTTCTGCAGCTGTGATCCTCCACCTAAAATAAGACCTGTGGGGTCTGGTTGTTACACCGTTCAGCATTGCGGTCATCGGAAGCCCG